GACCTATTATTAAAGGGGGGGAATTATGTAGGTCATGTGAGGTCCGTGTAGGGAAAAACTGTGCAAGGTGCGGGGATGTCGGGAAGGTCGATAAACGGCTCATTCTTCCATAGTAAGTTTGGCTGCTAGATGCCAGCCTTCAATGACTTCGACCATGGTTGGGCACGCACTGATTAAGTAGTAGAGATGTAGATGCCATGAAGGGTACCTACGGCAGTTGCAGGAAACAAGCCATGGCCCGCTCATGGCAAGCCCGCCCTCCTACTGCCTATTATGAGAAAATCACAACATCCCATATCTGAGTCTCGTGAGGAAGCCTACATTAAGCCACATATTCCGTGCAATGAGTTTACAAGACACGAGCCGTCGGTAGCCTCGGAGGCAACTACCACCTGCAGCGAGTACCAAACCATCTCATGGAGACAAGCCGCAGCTTAGACATCCCTAATGGCTTGCTTACCGTGAGTACTTGCATATCTAAATGCTTAACGCCTCAAAGCTCCAACTCAGCCCTAGTTTAATGACAGATGCCCTGGAGAATCCCCATCAGCTCCCAAAGAATCGCAGGACGTAACTAAATACGATTTACCATATCTACTTATGGGTCTGCTGCACTGTTAGCAACACAATTCTGAGCTCTCTTCATCCATTTTCAGCAGGGCTCTGAGCCCCCTATCAACTTACCTTTACTTAGCTAGGAATGAAGGATTGGATCCCTACAGTAGTCCCTTTATAACCCATTATAGCAGTTTCCATGTTGGCGTCGTCCATTCCTTCATTCCCAGCCAGCCATAAGTAACAGAAGGCACCTGAGGCGCCCAGCAAAGCCACAATGTCGGGATCTGCCATGCATCCTACGGAGTTCCCAGCTGGAAAGTCGAACAATGGCAAGAATAGGACAATCAGTTACAGTAGTAGTAATGGATATGGGTGGTTGTCAAAATTATGGTCCCTTTTTGGGTACCCTGAATACTAGGTGCCGTAGTATCATAAGGACCCCAAAAAGGCACCGTAATTTTGACAACCACCCATATATAAGAATAACAGCTGCAATCTGTGTGATTATTCTCCCCAAACTACATAACGGGGACACACAGGACCCTTTCAACAGGCAGGAGTCTTTGCAAGGGAGGGTCATGTTAGCTTGGATGAGGGAAGGTAATCAAAAGCAAAGTTGCTTGCCGCAGCAAGATGCAACACATGCACAGGGTATTATTTAGGTGGACCCCCCACCCAGTAACAGTAATAGTGACTAAAAAGGAATAGTAAGGATTGTAGAAGGGTCCTCTTATATTCCTATTATGCCACTATTACAGGGTGGGGGGTCCTCCTAAGGCATTAGTCTCGGGGGCGGGGGCTCCCCAAACGTACCTGGACCCTTCAGGTGCTGATGAATAGGAGCTGTAGGTCTAAGCGTTGCGAAAAGTAAGCCCAAAACTGGGTCCCCATATAATGCAAAGTTTGCGTTAGCTTTTGGAAGGAATCATGCCAGGGGGATCACAAAAAAAGGCCCTTGCAGATGAAGGTCAAGCAAACTCTCATTTGCGTGTACCTGATCCTTATTTCATCCGCTATAATACACATCCTGCTGTTAAGAACGTAGCAAAACAAGGCATTCCCTGCCGGGGATTCTCCAGCGGATAATTCCGCTAGACTACCATATCCCGTCAACCCTAACTTAAGTAGGCACATCCAGAGGCACTAGTCTCATGTACAGCGGCCACAAAACGAGATTATTGAATATTACGTGGTTACATCACTTGGGCTTTCCCGTAGCTACCACGCCCAAGGACCCGATGTCATCCTAGACTCCACTTATGTTTGCATGTTCTTTCCAATCTGACTCTGCCCAGGAAGTGAGAGAGAAAGAAAGAAAGAGAGAGAGAGAGAGAGAGAGTGTGTGTGTGTGTGTGTGCGTTCGTTGTGTTCATGTGTATATATATATATGCGCATTATATATATATATATCTGTGATACTATTTCATGTATCATGGTATAATATATATATATATACCCCCAACCCTATGTAATCTGTATATACGGCTGTATAATTCCAATACTGCCCCAACAGGAACCCGTATATGTATAATGTATGTATGTACGTATGTATGTATGTATGTATGTAAGTATGTATGCATGTGTGCATACATGTATTTATGTATGAATGATGTCCAGCTTATATTTGTTGCCTGGGCTACTGGTCATCGGAAAACTAGCGACTGTGTTCTCGTCTTCCAAGTTTCCGGGTATATTTGTTGCTCTTATGTTTGGTGATTGTGTTACGGCTTCCAAATTGAAAGCCCTCCGACACAATTCCAATGTCCAGCCTATATATATCTCCTGCGACCGATGAAAACTGCGCTCTATATATATATATATAACACACACATATATAAGTATATATGTGTGTATGTGTATACATATATATATATATCATATAGACATGAAGATATATACGCCATATATATATACATATATACATATATACACATATAGGTACAATAAGCGTATTTCCCTAGAATGCTGCCTTGGCAGTCATCATGGCGGCTCCAAGGCTACTCTGACTCTTCTGAAGGAGCTGCAGCTCGGATAAACCTTGGGGGGGCTCAGAGATTGTAGTTCAGGATTTTAGGGTTTGGGGTTTTTAGGATTTAGGGTTTGAGGTTTTTGGGATTTAGCGGTTTGGGGTTTTCAGGATTTAAGGTTTGTGGTTTTTAGGATTTAGGGTTTGGGGTTTTTAAAACTTAGGGTTTGGGATTTTTAGGATTTAGGGTTTGGGATTTTTTAGGATTTAGGGTTTGGG